CGAACCGCTCCAATCCCAATCGAGTGTCGGGATGACAACGTGCTGTACTGGATTTCATTCATTTTATTGTGTGCGCTCATCCTTCTTTCTAGAGGCCGAGACAAGGCGGGCTTGGCTCTCTCGACCCTACTTATTCTCTCGATGGCACCCTTTGCCGTGAAATATCGACCAACTCGCTTTGAGATGCTGAAACGGTAAGCGCACGGGCGCCGAGCCCCCCTTTCCGCGTGCTTCAAGGCGGCGCCGGGGTCTGCTATTGTCGTGGAATGCATGAGCGAGCTCGCCGAGATTGCGCCAGCAGCGGCAGCAGCGCAGCGAGACGGCGGCCGCCGCCGGGGGAAGGCGGCGTCGAAGAAGCGGTCGCGCGACGAGTCGCTGGCGCGCAACTTGCTCGAGGGGGAGTGGGAATAGGATGCCTCCACGCCTCTATGCCCTGATCAAGCACGTACCCCACCCATCACGGGGTTATCACAGTTGCAGTAGTCGTCAGTCGTCTGAGCAATATTTTCTTCTCCACACTAAATGCGGCCTCTTGAGTTAGGTAATCTCCCACAAGAATTACGGGATCATATATCTGCAACATTTGAATCAGCGAGGGATCTTATCAGTTGGTTAAAAGTGAATAGCACTTTTCTAAGCAGACAAAAACGGGAAGAAATCGAGAGCGTGCTTCGGCAGTACAGGGGTGAGGTTGAATTGTGGAGCGGAGTCGCACATAAGTTTTACGAAGTCAGGAATAAAGTAGCCGAAGGGTGGAATAACATTCCAGCGGTTCGAATGTCAAACGGAGTAACGGCATTCCCTGCGGATGATCTCTACATTCAAATGCTCCAGGAGATAATTATGAGGATACAAGCATTTTTGACAGACGTACCTTTAAGAATTTCTTTAAACTTGGATGTCTACGTAACTGACCGCCCTCCCGGTCAATGGACGACATCCTTACGACCCGGTGCGGGTTTCCTTTTCGAATTGTCATTAGGTAAAACCCTAGGAAGCGGCGATGGACGATACTATCGTTTCAATTGGATTGAAACGATCCTAGATGCTGTACGCGTCTCAAAGTTTCTCAAAGACCTGACGACGCGCATTAGCCCCGACGCCCTGGTAGTCGAAAAGGATCGTTTCATAAGCGCTATACGTGACACTGGACTCGAAAATCTTGACCTGTCCGGTTCATGGCTGACCAGAGGAGATTTAGGCACAATAATAGAGGCTCTAAGAGAGAACGCAACAAACTTTCAGGACCAAAGACGGCGGGGTCAACTTCGAGTTGTAAACCTGAACAACATCAGCTTGGTGGGGCCACTCGTGGGACAGGGTCCTTACTCCCCGGGGACTCAAAAAGAATGGGAGGACTTTGCTCAGATACTTCCTGGAAATATGGTCTTGGAAAAGCTATCTTTGGGCGGTATCGATAATGAAGAGGCCTTCTATCGTGCATGCACAGCCTTTAAAACAGTACTTCAAGGGCCGGGACAAATGGCGCTCAACGAGTTGCATATCTCATATAAATATGAACGTGCCTCTTCCGCCGCATATGAACGTGTGAGGGTGCAGCGTGAAGAACTCAAAAATCTGCTCAGAGAGAGGAGACAGAGATACGCCGGCGAGGGGGTAGGATCAAGCTATGGCGGAGGTCGGGGAGCTCGGGCAAGGAAGCGGCGGGGCGGGGGCGGCAGCGCAGCGGCCGCCCGACGCAGTGGAGCGTCCGCCCGGCTGGATGAGCTGCTGAAGCCGCGCCTGGTCGAGATGGCGCGGCGGAGGGGCGTGCGGGGCTCCTCAAGCATGCGCAAGGCCGAGCTCGTGCGCGCCCTCGCCCGGTAGGCCCTCGTCCTGTTGTGGCGAGGCGTGGGGCGCGCCAGCAGCGGCAGCAGCGCAGCGAGACGGCGGCCGCCGCCGGGAGAAGGCGGCGTCCGAGCGCAAATCCGCCGGCCCGCCGGCCCGCCGGCCCACCGCCGACCTTCCCGAACCGGCTCGGGCCCGCATCCACCCGGTGGGGCCGGTCATCGCGGGCGGCGCGGGCGGCGGGCGGCGAGCGGCGGGCGGCGGCGGCCGCCGCGGGCCGCGGGCGGAGCGGAGGGGCCGTCCCGGCCGTCGGGGGGGTGCCCCCGGCCTCCCCCCGGCCCCGCGCCCCCACGCGGGCCGCTCGGGGCGCCGCGGGGGGCGCCGGGGGGGCCCGGGAGGGGCGCGGGGCCGATTTTCGTTGGACTTTCGTTGCCGGCGCACACAGCGCCGCGCGAACAACAAGGGCTGGATTCGGGACACGGACGTGTGCGGGCGAGCATCCAAAACACTGACGCAGTCTCGTAGCTTTGCGTTTGGCCCCGTTTGTGCCGCGTCTTGTGCCCCCGACGAATGTCTCTTATAAAATGAACTCGGGGCATCGCGCCAGCACGCCTCTCGGTGTGAGTGAGTGAGTGAGTATTCTTGATACGAAACCACGACGACACACACCAGTCGACTCGCATCGGTTGCCTCCATGTACGGCGGGGCTATTCTCGCGCCCACACCACCTGGCTCCAACGTGGACACGCCCATAGCTGGGGACACTACTAGGTTCACGCATGGCATCAGAAGTTTTATCTCTGGGCCCCGAAAGGCATCTCTAGCAGCGTCGTTACGCATGCGCCCTCCCCTCCTGGGCGCATGCGCCTCACATCTCGCCAGAGCATAAGCTCTTGGTGTGCGGCGAGACGAGTTTTTCGCCATCGCAGCGAGCAGCAAGCCACTCGCCGCAGCAGCCGGAGGCATCGCCGCAGCGCTGTCTGCGCCGCGGTCCCGCACCCGTCGACGAAGCTCCCCCCGCGGAAGTCCGCGCGTAGCCACGCCTTGACGATCGAGATGAGCGCGCTCGAAGCTCGCCCACCTACTGCCCCTGAGAGTTGGTTACGAGTGGGATCGGCTCCCCCCCTTGGGATGCATCAAAGCTTCCACGACCTCGCACCCAACATCACAGGCGGGATCAGAGAGAGACTCCACACCGGACACCGCCCAGGCACAGACTCCCTACCCGTCCATCGCACAGGGCCCCCTCGGAGCAGCCCACACACAATCACGCATCGGCAGATTGAGTGCCTGAGTCAGGCAGACAGCACAGACAAGGAGAGGAGAGAGAGAGGAGAGAGAGAGAGAGAGGAGAGAGGAGAGGGTGAGGGAGTGTGCACACGTGAGGAGTGGGAGGGTGTCTGTGGTGGGCTGTAGTCCTACTACGTGGTTACAACCACGCGCCCCTCAGGAGCTTAAGGTTGCTCCCGGCCCAGTGGGGATTTTGGCCTACTCAGTGACCGTCTGTGACAGCCTTTTCTTTTTGAAAAGGTTCACCTCCGCATGGAGGACCGCCCTTCGGGCACCATCACGCCCTCCGGGCATACTCCGAACTCCCACACGCCAATACACGCGCGGCCGGCGCCTCTCATGCCCTTCTCCAGGCACACCGCGTGAAAACTGCGCGTACGTCCCCGCGCGCACGCAAACACGCGCAGCGCCATTTCAGAGCTGTGCCCATGTGCGTCTGCCCTGTGCTGGCGCCCCATGGCCGTCCCGCGCCGCCCGCACCAGCTGCGCGCCCCTCGCACTACCAGAGCAAGCCGCATATCCACTCACGCCGCGACGCGCGCGCCGCAGCACACCTCACCAGCACACCTGCGCCTTTTTGCGCCCTGTGCAGGCTCTGCAGACTGCTTCTGGCATCTCATAAGCGGCTGTACCAGGACGCGCCGCGAGTGAGACGCAGATCCGGCACCGCGCAGGCGCGCACGCACGCCCGCACGCGCGCGCGCGCGCGCGCGCGCGCTTCCGCTCTCTGCTGCACAGACTGCCAGCCTGCACACACAGCATACAGCACCATGTGCACGCATACGCCTGACGATGCAGCCCGCACTCCACAACAATAGCCTGCCTCACGCCTCACCACGCCACCCCGCGCTCACACCGCCAGCAGCCCGATCAGAGAAACTGCAGCGCGCGCCTCTGCACGCCTGCAGTCTCTCTGCACTCTGAGCCTTCTCAATCCACCCCGCCGCCGCGCCTCCCCAGGCACACCGCAGCGAAGATGTGAGTCGAAGTATTGGATATCGGCCGAGCCTGCGCCTGCCGCACACAGTTCTTTTTACTGCCAAAGCATAAAAAGAAAAACACGAGGGCGACTTGCACTTTGGTCTTTGGACTTTGCACTTTGCACTTTGCACTAAGCGCAAATTTTACGTATGTGCATAGTGCAAAGAAAAAACACCGGAACCCACTTCCCCCCTCCCCCCCGAGAGCGACGACCAGCAGCAACGACCTAGAGCAGCGTCCTGCCGAGTGTGTGTAGCACCGACGCAGACGCACCCCAGGCACTACACTACGACGGCTAGGCAGACCTCACCAGTCCGATAAGGATCAACTGGAAGGTTGAACCTCGAGCTTAGACAGAACGGGCGCGACAGACTCCAGGGGAGATCACGCTCTACTCGGGGCACCAAGGAGGAAAACCGAAACCGTTTGGGTGCCCAACAAAAACCCAAACGCCACAGCCTAAAAGTCACACCTCCCCCCCACGTCCCCCCCCCCTTGGGGACGTAGCGCACGCCCTTACTCGGAGAGAGTGGGGGGGGAGGGGGGGTGGGGGAATAGGAGGAGCCAACGAGCGCGGAGTAAGGTCCACAGTAGAGAGGCCGGCATTTAAGGCGTAACTTCACCCTCGCTCACCTCGAGTATATCTAGGCGCCCTGGTGCAGTCGGTCTTCGGATCAGCGGCCAGCTTCCCATCTAGGGCAGGGAACCCCCAGCGACGCTAGTGTGGCCTACGGTAGCCATAGCTTGTACGCGATCCCGGGGCAGGGGGGTGTGGACTCTGGAGCTCCAAGAGAGGATAGAGAGAGGACCTGCAATTTTTTTTTTCGTATGAACTTCGCAGGCGGACGTGGGCGCCCGCACGACAGTGCAGCTCGTCAACAGCCACAACGGTCGTCAGCTGTCTGCCGGCGCCGACAGCGTGAATAACACCATCCGCGTGAATGCTACGCGGGCTGCACGTGCGCGTTTGCGGGCCTGTGCCGACAACGTCTCGCTCCTCTTCTATAGCGACGAATGGGTCAAGGGCGGGCCCGTGCCGGACAACGACGCGCGGCTGGTCGCGCTGCTCAATCAGATGAACAATAGCAAATGCGTCGTGCCGCCGCCCTTTGGCAAACTAAAGGCGTTCAAGCTCTCGGAATCACTCGCCAAACGGCACCGCAGCGGTGCGATCGTCGACGTATTTCGGATCGCCATGGAGGACCACAGCGCCAGGGCGGTGACTACATCCAACGTACATCACACCGACTCGTTGGTCGATAAGCCGGCGCCAAAGGAAAGATCAAAGGCGTTCAAGTTGCCGTCGGCAGGCTTCTACGCTGTCCACGCGGCGCTTTTGCTCTGCAGCTCGGTGTCGCTCTTTGGCTTTCAGGACAGCCCCCAAAAGACCTTTCACTACTGGGGCAACCAATCAGCACTCGACGCCTCCGGCAGCAGACGCTTCCACAACTTTGAAGCCGAGCACGAGTACTATCAGCGCAGGCTGAAGGACAGCGCGCGCGTGTGTGTCGCACAGGGTTCGTGTATCGTGATTTCACATGGAAACAGCGAATCGATTTCACTTTCACTTTCACTTCACATTTCATGTGAAACGAAATTTCACTTTTCCGCGAGCGAGTGTGAACGTGACGGATGCTCCCACCGAGTTCCGACACTCTGACACTCACTTCACACTGGCGTGCTGTGGGCGAATACGGTGCCGATGGTGGGATGAACTCTCTCTCAGCAGGCGAGTATTGGGAGTATTTGCAGTCGAGAGTATCATTCTCGACGCATTGGGAGGGCGGCCGCGGCGGTGTAGGGGCGGCGGCGAGCTCCCGGTGGCAAATACTCGCCTCACAGTCCAAGATGGCGGCTCGCGCCCCCGGCCGTGCTCTGGCGTGCCTCTCTAGTCCCGCCTGCCACCCAGATACCGAGGGCGGGGCGCACTCTTCGACTTGGGCTATTATCTGGCCTCGGGAGGGCGGCCGCGGCGGTGTAGGGGCGGCGGCGAGCTCCCGGTGGCAAATACTCGCCTCACAGTCCAAGATGGCGGCTCGCGCCCCCGGCCGTGCTCTGGCGTGCCTCTCTAGTCCCGCCTGCCACCCAGATACCGAGGGCGGGGCGCACTCTTCGACTTGGGCTATTATCTGGCCTCGGGAGGGCGGCGGCGGCGGTGTAGGGGCGGCGGCGAGCTCCCGGTGGCAAATACTCGCCTCACAGTCCAAGATGGCGGCTCGCGCCCCCGATTTTTTTTTGCCCAAATCACCCCGTTTTTGCCCATTTTCGGTCACCCGTCAAAATATCTGAAGATCTGACCGGGGGATTCTCCCCAAACCTTGCTCAGCTGATCCAGCACGGGCCGTAGGCCAGCCCTGGGCAAAGAAACCAGTACCTCATCGGGCTTCCCTGAGCGTCACAGCTCGGTGATCGCGCCGGCCGGACACCACTGTAACGTCCGTTCCGGGCGTTTGAACGCGACCTTCGGGGGCAAAGACATGGGCTCTATGGCTCAGACTGGACTCCTCTTGGTCCCTTCTGATGCCCTAGGCCACACCTGGGCCTTACCTGGGGTCGTAGGGGCCGGGCAGGGTTTGCCCCCCCCCAACTGGCCCGAAGAACCTTAATGCCCGCAACCCTGGCGAGGTACTCCCACGCCTCTCGGGGTTTTTGTCTGGCCGAGTCAACCTGCTGGGGCGAGCCTCGGCGAGACTGCGTCAGCTGTTCCCACAGCAGGCTGGAAGTACCTCGCGCGCCGCAACCCAACTGTCCAAACAACCGTCCCGCCCCCCACAGAAATCGCCGCGTCACCCGGAGGCGTCACAGACCGGGTAGGCCAGCCACGCCAACGCCAAACGCGCATATCCAGCAGTGCCCCCTAGTCCCAGTCCGATCCTTCTCGCTCTCTCCTCCCTGTCCGAAGCGAAGCACTACATGATGCAGCCGGGCTTCGCGCGCGGCTGCGCCTCTGGCGCCGGGCTCGCCACGGCCTGCGCGCTCGTCCTGGCCTTCCTCGCGTGGCGACAGCTGCCCGCCCAGCCCGGCCAAACCGGCGGCTCGTGGGGCTCGAATGGCATCAGCGAATCGTCGTCGGGTGCACTCTTCCGCGCCGTAAAGGTGCGTTCGTACCAGGGTCCGCGGCGCTTCGCGGACTGGCGGCCGAGGCCGGATGCCAAGAAGGGAGCGCCGTCAAAGGAGTGCAGGCAGTGGGCGGTGGTCACCTCGATCTTCCCGCCGACACAGACGGTGCGGCAGCTCGCCGCTCTACCATCGTGGTGCGTGGTCGTGGCGGGCGACAAGAAGGGCCCCGTCGAGTACAACCTCTCTGGCGTCCTCTACCTGACGCCAGCCATGCAGGCAGCTTGGACCTCCTCCCTGCGGCTTGGATCTCCTCCCTGCGGCGCTGGCCTCGCTTCGCGCCCCCCGCTCCACGGCTCGCCCCGCGCACCGCTGCCCAGCCCGCCTTCTCTCGGCTTGGCAGGAGGCGCTCCCCTTCGAGTCCAAGGCGGAGCTGCGCTGGAACCACTTTGGCCGCAAGAACCTCGGCTTCCTCTATGCGATCCAGCACGGCGCCCGCTGGGTGTACGACACCGACGACGACAACGAGCTCCTCTTCCCGGGCCCGCGCGCGATCCCGATCCCGCCGCCCGACGCGCTCGCCGACGAGGTGTACACGTCCGCGCGCCTCTACAACCTCTACCACCACCTCGCCGTCCTCCCGGGCAAGGCGCGCAGCCCACCACACACCGCCACGCCCACACACCGCCACGCCACCACACACCGCCACGCCCACACGCCACCACACACCGCGCTCCACCATCACACCGCACGCCACCATCGCACCACCGCTGCACCCAGCCGCCTGCACCCCGGATCCCCGCCGCCCCCCCCCCCGAGCCCGGCGCGCCTCTAACGCCCGAGATTACCCGAGATTACCCGAGATTACCCGAGCCCGGCGCGCCTCTAACGCCCGGCCCTCGAGCCCGGCCCACCCGCGTCGCAGGCGCACCTCCCCTGGCGCACCTGGCCGCGCGGCTTCCCGCTCGAGTCCATCAAGGACAACGCAACCACGTCCGCCGCCTTCCGCCGGCGCGCCCGGCCCTCGCGCCACATCCAAACCCTGGCCCTGACTCTTACCCTGCCCTGGCCAGAACACCCTAGGCGCGCCTGGCCCTCGCGCCGCATCGGCGTCTTCCAGTCCCTCGCGAACCACGACCCCGACGTGGACGGCATCTACCGGCTCACCCAGGACCTGCCCCTCTCCTTCAAGCCCTCCCTCGCCGGCACCGGAACCTCGTCCGCAGCGCTCGCAGGCCGGCCCCTCCCCTCTCCGTGGAGGCCCGGCGAGGCGGCGCCCGAGGCGGCGCGGCCTCCGCGCACCGGCCCCGCGCCGAGCCGGCAAGGCTCTGGCCGCTCGCTGGCCGAGCAGGGCGGGGGCGGCGGGCAGGGCGCGGTGGCGGCGGCCAGCAGGGGCGGTCGGCGGCTGAGCGGCGCGGAGGGGCGCGCCGCGCCGCCTCCGCTCCACAGTGCCGCCGCCGCCGCTGGCGGCGGCGGCGGCGGCGCGGCGCATGCGGCGAGGCCATCTGCAGCGCGGGCGGGCGGCGGCGCCTCCTCGCGCGCTATCACTCTGCGCGAGGGCAGCATGATGCCGTACAACGCCCAGGCGACGCTGCACGCGCAGCGCGCCCTCTGGTCGCTGCTGCTCCCGTGCTCCGTGCACGGGCGGGTGACCGACATCTGGCGCGCCTACTTCGCGCAGCGGCTGCTCTGGGACGTCGGGCTGCGGCTCGCCTTCTCGCCGCCGTGGGTGGTCCAGTTCCGCAACGCGCACAACTACCTCGCCGACTTCAACTCGGAGGTGCCTCTCTACCAGCAGGCGGGCGCGCTGGTCGGGGCGCTGCTCCGCTGGCAGCCGGCGGCGAGGACGCTGCCCGGCCGCTTCGAGGAGCTCTACGTCCACATGTACGAGCTCGGCATCGTCGGCCTCTCCGACGTGCGGCTGGCCCAGGCTTGGCTCGCCGACCTCGACCGCATCGGCTACCCCTTCCCGCCGATCCTCGACCGGCCTCCGCGGGCGGTCAAGCCGGCGAGGAGCGGCGGGGTGCGAGAGAGGCATGGAGAGAGGAGGGCCGCGACGAGTGGCGCCGGCCAGGCTACGTAGAGACTAGAGTCCAAAACGTGAGGAGCCGCCGAGGTCCTGAGCGCTGAGGAGGGCGCAGAGAGGAGTTTTTGTCCGGCGCGTGGTCTCTCTCATAAATGATTCTAGGGGACTCTTCTCTTCAGTCCACGACGAGCCTCTCTCGGACTCGGTCGCCTCGACCGTGTTCACACGCACATCATGCGCTTGGTGGGCCGCGGCGGCCGGGGCGGCGCAGCCGCAGGAGGTTACCTCGTGCCCCGCAAGGTGAGATCATACGTCCGTCGCTTCCGAGGGTCCGAGAGCACCGCGTGCGCCTCCTGGAGTCGCTTGAACGACTCCTCTGCCAGCGCCTCGCCATTCTTGTCGGGGTGGAGCTTACGTGCTAGCTTTCGGAACGCCTTTCGGACCTCCTCCTCGCTCGCCGTGCGCGGCAGCGAGAGCACCGTGTAGTGTGTCTCCGCGCGCAGCACTGCTCTCATCAGCTGAGCCAGCTGCGTGTCCTCTGGCGTCTGCTGCGGCGCCGCGGGCTCGCGCCCATCGCCCGCCCCGCTGCGGCGCGTCTCTCCCCACACCGCCCGCGGTGCTGCCGCCGCCTGCGCCGCCAGCCAGAGCAGCCCGGCCGTGAGCATGGCCCACAGATGGGCGAGGGCGGCGGCAAAGGCGGCAAAGGCGGCGACGAGCGCGGTGGACACGGCGTTACCCTCCACCCAGGCTGCCGAAGCACGCCCACCCGCCGCCTCCGTGTCTTTTGGGCGTGCCGCGTCCGCCCCAGGCCCCGCCGCCGCCCCTGCCGCCGCCCTCGCCGCCGCCCCTGCCGACCTGGGCCTGACAACCTCCACCTCGGCCTCGGCCTCCGCGGCGAGGCGCGCGGCTGCGAGCGCGGCGGCGTAGGTGGCGTTCCCGGGCTGCAGGGCCACAGCGCGGCTCAGCATCCGCACCCTCTCGCTGCTGATGCTCGTGCTCCGCATTGCTCGAACGTACCAGCTTGCCGCCGCCTCTGCGTTGGCAGCCCCGCGCGCCTGCTCGCGCGCCTCCTCGAGCGCGGCGCGAGCGGACCGCTCCAGCTTCGCCGCCGCCTCGGCGCGCGCGTGCGAGGTGCGCGAGTCCGAGCGGCGGGCGGCGGCCGCGGCAGCCTCCAGCACCGCCCTCGCTCGCTCGACCTTTCGCCGCCTCTCATCGTTGTCGGAGGCGTCGCGCTCGCGTCGGCGAGGAAGGAGCCGCTGCCGGAAGCCACTGAGGTAGGAGCGGCTCTTGGAGGCTCGTGGTCCGCGCGGAGACTTTGTCAGGCCGGCCTCGTCCATTCGCTTGAGCGCGTCGGCGTACAGCGCGGTGGACGGGCTGAGTCGCCTGGCCCGCCTGAGGTGAGAGATGGACGCGGACAGGTCCTCCTCCTCTAGGGAGCGCAGGGCGCGCTCGAAGGCCACCGAGGCCTCCGTCATGTACCGACTCGCTGTCCGACAAGGATGGGCTG